CCAAATAAGCAGGGTCGGTTAGGGTATCATGAAACCCAGGCTGGCCTGGCCCTCACTGTATAGCCAAGAATGACTGTGAATCTGATGCTCCTGTCTCCAGTTCTAAAGTGCTGGGATTATAAGTGTGTACCATCATACCAAGTAGCACTCTACCAAGTGAACTACATCTTCAGTCCTGAATCATGCTTTTTTTTTTTTTTAAAGAAGGGCCTCACTATGTAGCTGGCTAAACTGCAACTTGCTATGTATCTCACTCTGGTCTTGAACTCAGAGAGATCCACCAACCTCTCCCTCTCACCTGAAGATTTTTATTTGATGTTCATGTGTGCTGCACCTCAGTGTATGTACGTGGCTTCACTGTGTGATGTACCTGCATAGGCCAGAAGAGGGCCCTGTGTCCTCTGGAACTGAAGTTACAGCAACTGTGAGCTGCTTTGGGAACCAAACCTGGGTCCTTTGCAAGAGCAGCAAGTGCTCTTAACTGAGGGGCCAGCTCTCCAGCCCTGAATCTTACATTTTTTTCTCCCCATAAACTTTCAATGTGCATTGGTGGTTTTTGCTTGCAAGTATGTTGATGTGAGGATGTTGGATCCTGGAACTGGAGTTATAGGTAGTTAGTTGTGAGCTGCCATGTGGGTGCTGAGAATCAACCTGAGTCCTTTGGAAATGAAGTGATGGCTCTTAACTGCTGAGCTAGCCCTCCAGCCCCTGGATCTAAATTCTTAAGCAAAAACATTTTTCTCTCCTTTCCTCCCTGTGTGTGTTATTGTTGTTAAAGTTGTTTGAGATAGGGTCTCATGTAGACCAGGCTGGCCTCAAATTCACTGTGTAACCAAAGTTGGCCTTGAACTCCTCAACCTTCTGTCTCTACTTCCCAAGTGCTAGAATTATGACCTTGCTAACTATGACTTTTCTGTAACCCTTCTGATGAACTTTTAAGTATACTCAGAGAAGTTTTGCATACTGAAGTGGGATGACTTTCCCAAGAAAAGCAGACCATTTTTAAGTGTGATCCATTGGGTATGATCATGTGTGAGTGTGTGTGTGTGTGTGTGTGTGTAATAGCATGTTTCCTTAAAGAGTGATTGACAAAGTGCGGCTCTCAGACTTGGATAGCTGGTAGACTTGTTCTCAAAAAGGAACAACGGCTCTGTCACTTCAGAGAAAAATCTGACAATATTTGTTAACAATTATACAATTCAAATTTTCAAGTGAAAATCCTAACTTTGAGTAACCTTTCTCTGACACTATGACTTCCCAGCTTACCCAAACTTAAAACATAGTTGTATACTCTCCAATGAAACAAATCAAGATATTAAAGAATGTGATATTTTGGTTGGTATAGTGGATTTATTGAGATGTCAACATTTGAAACATATGTGTGGCTCAGTGAATCAGTATTTTCCAAATGACCAATCAATGACAAAACAAAATTACGTATGAGTAAAATGATTACCCAAAAATAGAGGATAAGAAGTTCAAGGTAGACATGGTGGCACACACCTTTGATCCCAGGCAGAGGATGGTGGCTAAAACTTCCAGACCAGACCAGTCTATATAGCAAGTTCCAGGTTAGCTAGGGCCACATAGAGAGATCCTGGCTAAAAGATAGATAGAAAGATAGATAGATAGATACATAGATAGATAGATAGATAGATAGATAGATAGATAGATAGATAGATAGATA